GTAATACCAAATACTTCATAATATACTTCTGAAACGACTTTTCGTCCTGAATATGCATGAAATTTTTGCCACTGGACGTTTAAACAACCACTGAATAATCAATCAATCAAATTTTGCTCTCAGTAAAAATGAATTAAACAATATAAGCCACAATTGTATCCATCACTTGGTGTCTGTTGTTTGTTTGTACAGTAAACATACTGAATCTATTATATTCCTTATACAATTTCAAGTATGTAATAAAATTCATACATATTTTCAAACATCCTGGCACTTCAAATTTCTAGGAGGTGAGATTCTCGGGGTTTTACCTGAAACTCTTTGGGAAATGCATTTTTTAATTCCAATTCCAATTCCAAACTGTAAAAGATATACCAAGGTTTTTTAAAATGCATTTCTAATTTGATAAGAAGATTTGAAAAAAAAACGATCTCAATGGTAGTTGAAATTATTCAGCACTTAACAATTTTCTATATTTTACATTTAATCATAAACCGATGAATATTAAATGATTTTTAAAAAATTAAAAAAAATATTTTTATTCTAATATATCTAAATATCTGGGTTATTTTCTTATCCAAATAATTATTTTTTCATTTTTTTAAGGAAAAAGTGTTATCAGTTATTGCCCCCTCATTTTAGACATGCCATTTTGCTTGATACATTGTAGCTTTAATACACAGGATTAACGTCATACTGGGGGAGGGTCAGTTACTTACTTACTTACTTGACTTAATCCACTTCGTCCCATGGGGGACATAGGGCGACCACAGTAGCTTTCCATCTTTTCCTGTCCTTGGCTAGTTTCTTTGCTTCACCCCATGTTTTCCCAATTTTCTGTAGATCAGATGTAAGATCTCTGCGCCAGGTGGATTTTGGTCGCCCTCTTTTACGATGACCCTGAGGATTCCAATCTAACGCCTGTCTAGTTACATTTGTGTTGTTTTTACGTAAAGTGTGTCCAATCCATTTCCATCTGCGTGTTGTTATCGTTCTTTCTATTGGTTCTTGTCTTGTCCTTTTCCACAATTCTTTGTTGCTAATGGTGTTTGGCCACTTGATTCCAATGATGTTTCTTAGACACCTGTTTATGAAAACTTGTAATGTTTTTGTAGATGCAGCTGTTAGTCTCCAAGTTTCTGACCCATAGAGAAGTATAGATTTTACATTTGAGTTGAAGATCCTGATTTTGGTGTTTGTTCTAAGTGCTTTGCTCCTCCAGACTGGTTTAAGGATAGCAAAGGCTTGTTGAGCTTTTCTTTTTCTTGATTGGATGTCTTCATCTGTCCCTCCTGATGTACTGATGACACTTCCAAGATATGTAAACTCTCGGACATCTTCAATTTCAGCATCTCTCACTTTGGTTTTGTTAAGTTGGTTTGCGTTTACCCTCATAGATTTTGTCTTTTTCGAATTGATGTATAGTCCTACTTGTTTTGCCGTTGTTTCAAGGTTGGTTGCTTGGTTTTGTGAGTCTTCAAGGCGATGGGAAAGCTGGCAGATATCGTCTGCAAAGTCAAGGTCTTCGAGGCATGACTGTAATGTCCATTTAATACCTAGAGGAGTGTTGTATGATTTCCGACTCACCCAATCTATAACTATCAGAAAAAGGAGAGGGGAAAGTAAACATCCTTGTCTGACACCGGTTGATACAGGAAATGGATCTGTCAGAGTCTCTGCATGGCTCACTTGACATGTAAAACCGTCATAGAGCTGTTGGATGACGGATATGATTTTTTCAGGTATTCCATAATATCTAAGGATGTTCCACAGTACTTGATGGTCTATACTATCAAAGGCCCTCTCGAAATCTACAAATGTTAGGTATAGGGATGTCTGCCACTCAATGGTTTGCTCAATGATGATTCTTAATGTGGCAATTTGGTCAATACATGATCTCTCTTGTCTGAAACCGGCCTGTTCATCTCTCAGTAACTTATCAACTTCTTTCTTTAACCTCTGTAGGATGATGTGACATAGGACTTTGCTAGGAATGGAAAGCAAAATAATACCTCTCCAGTTGCTACAGATTGATTTGTCACCTTTCTTTGGTAGTTTAATAAGGATTCCTTTACGCCAGTCATCAGGTATATGTTCGTCATTCCATATTTTGTTTAGTAGTTGATGAAGTTTATCAATACAGATGTTATCCATTGCCTTTATAGCTTCAGGGGGTATGTTGTCAATTCCTCCTGCTTTTCCATTCTTTAGTTGTTTTATTGCAGCATTTACCTCTGCTTTAGTTATATCTCCTGTCTTGATATTCAGGACCTGTCTCCCTTTTATGTCAGGTGGGTCAATTGGAGGGGGTCTGTTTAGCACTTCTTCAAAATGATCTTTCCATCGTTTTTATTGTTCTTTAATTTTGGTAATAACATTGCCATTTTTATCTTTTACTGTAGCGTTTGAGTTGGATCTTCTGCCACTTAGTTGTTTAGTTGTGTTGTAGAGAGATTTTATGTCTCCTTTGCTACACGCAATTTCTGCTTCTTGTGCTAGTTGTTCAACATAGTCTCTTTTGTCATGTTTACAGTTCTTCACTTCTTTGTCTTTCTCTCTATAAAGGTCTTGTGTTTGTCTTTTCTGTTGTCTTGTGGTGGTATTTAAGACTTTTTCTTTGGCTTTTCTCCTTTCTTCAACCTTAACCCATGTATTATGTGACATCCAGTTTTTGCGTTTATACTGCATATATCCTAATGTTTCCTCGCATGTTTCTAGAATTACATTTTTTGTCTGCTCCCATGTGTTGTTAATATCATTGTTCTCTATATCAAGGTCACTTATAGCTGAGAATCTGTTTTGAAGAGATATTTGAAATTCTTCTCTTATGTTTGGTATTTTAAGCTTCCCAACGTTAAACTTTCTTCTTTTGACAACTGTTTTTTTTTGGGCTAAAAGTTTCATCTTTATTGACCCTATAACTAGATGATGGTCTGATGCTGCATCTGCTCCTCTTTTTACCCTTACATCTTGCAGTGATGACCTCCATCTCTGAGAAATAGTTATGTGGTCTATTTGGTTTTCTGCATTTCCTGCTGGTGACACCCAGGTTACCTTATGGCAATTCTTGTGTTTGAAGAGTGTTCCTCCTATGACAAGGTTGTTGGTAGCACAGAGGTCTGCAAATAGTTCACCATTTTCGTTCATTTTTCCTATCCCATGAGGACCGATTTCTCTCTCCCATCCCTTTCTTTCTGATCCAACCTTAGCATTTAGGTCACCCATAAGTACCAATAGGTCCCTTTTTGGTACTTTTTCTATAGTTGTTTGTAATGAGTGGTAGAAGTCTTCCTTTTCACAGTCATCTGCACCATTGGTTGGGGCGTATACTTGTATCACGGTGGTTTTTTGGAAACGTGAGTTAAAGCGTGCTGTGATAATTCTTGGTGAGATGGGATTCCACTCTATCAGAGCTGTTTTAGATCTTTTTGTTATTAGAAATCCAACTCCCTTTTCATGTGGGTCATTTTGTTTGGTGTTTCCGGAATATATAATTGTGTGGCCTGTATTCAAATTTGTCATGCCTGATGTGTTCCATCTAACTTCGCTTAGTCCTAGAATTTCAATCTTGTATCTATTCATCTCTTTTGCTACTTGTGGGTCAGTTAAGCTGCTACTTATGCTATTAGTATATCTGGAACAGCTTTCCCATTCGGAGCATCTTTCGCCTCACGCTTACTATGTGTGTCATATATGTGCATAGGTATGTAATCATGGTATTCCACATATTTAATTCCCAGTAGTTTAAATGGTGTATCCATGGCAACAAGCTGGTTTTATTTGCAATAAAGTATTGCAAAAGGGGGTGCGAAGATGTCACATATGTCCCCAAAATTTGTTTACAAGTAGAATCTCAATCCCTTGAATTGATACCTTTTCTGAAACTGTGTACATAGATCTACCAAGAGATCAAATAAAAATCATACCTCTTCCGTTTTATTTTTTTGTAAAATTGGGACAAAAAGTTCGTGTGAAAAAAAAGGGTTTGTAAACATAACAACAATTTCTGGACCTATCGGCGGTCGGGATATGAAAATACGGACAATCAAACAAAAAGTAGCCCATAAAACATTTAAAAAATAATATTGATGTTCCTATAAATCCACTTTAACGGCTTAATTAGTCATCAGCTGTCTAAAACTGAATTTTATTGCACAATAACTTTCATATTTGAAAAATTCGCCATGGCCAAACTGCGAAACCACAATCCTAACTGTGTATTGCTGCCGTATCTATATTGTCCAAAGTACCGAAGTCACTACATATTCCATTTTTCCAGGTTACCGTGTTGGTTGTTATCAGTTAAAACGACGAGAAACACTAGTCAATCAGTAATTGCTTCATTTCCGAAACACATAAGTTCAGCCCAGTTTTCTCGTTTGCTTGGTGCTCAATTTGAAGGTTTTTTTTATATTGGATTGTGTCGACTGTTATTTGTGTTTTCGTATTTTTATTTCATAATGGTGTCTGTATTTCTTTTGCATTTTAATTTCCCCTTTGTAACGTATTGCTTTCTTTTTCAAATGTATAAGAACAATAAATCAATATAGTTTATGATTTCCCCAAGGATAACACATCAAACGAGAGAAAACACTTAGTTGACATTAATATTCAGTAGAAAATCCAGTAATTTATCTATATATTCTATAGAAAAAACTTCGAATGAATATAAAAGCCAATTATTTCTTCCGTTCCCCAAAATATTTTTTTTAAAATGAAAGCCCAAAAATAGAAATATGATTACTAAACCATGAAGTGCAAGATACATTTTAAATAAAACATTAGAGGTAACGAATCAGAACTTGGAAATCGAATGTTAGTATTTTCCCTATCGTATTACAAGAAAATAAAGCGTTTTGTTCCTGATAAAATAAAACTACCACATCGCATGACAAGGTTCAACTAAAAAGTAAAAAATACAGTGGAAAGTAATGTTTAAAAGAGGTACTTGGTTCTAATTACTTTGATTTAATTTCTTTTATATTCTATTTTCTGAACAGACATAGTTGAATCGGAAGATACAGAAGATCCAGAAAATAACTTTGTATAAGTTGATTGCTGTGGTATTGCGAGACGAAAAGATGTGAATGAGTATTTGACAGATTTTGAAAAGAAAGATGTTTACTACCTTTGTACCAACGATCAAATTTTGAAATTCTATTACGACAAAAGCAAAAAACTAGAAATGTCTCAACACTAAAACACATAAAAAACGCTACCCCCAGACCTTGTGGAACCTCTTTTATCTTTGGAAGGTTAAGCAGAATCTGCTCCAAATCTAGTAATTACACCCGTCATATTATTCATGGAAAGTGCAATTTCGGTGATTTCCTGATTCCGGGATTGCAGCAACGACAATTTCTGAGAAACAGATATTCAATAACGGTAAACCGACTCGTGTTGGCTTCCGTATTTTTTTAAAGGAATGACTTAAACTTTACTATTTCGAACCATTGATTAGATATGACGTTATTAAGGACACTTATGTAATTTTTGTATCCAGTACAGTAAAGCAAGGTCAAGTTTTTCGTCTCCGGTTGAAATTTCGAAGGAACATAGAACAGACCTATGCTTGTTCATGATTTCCTCTTTTTGCAGTATCGTGCTATTATATGCTACGGAATAATGACTAAAGTGTCTACACTTTGTAAAACTAGGTACATATTTTGTTACATCACCGATACATTTCAATGGTATTTAAAATGTTATTAAAAACTAAAGAAGATACTAAGAATGCACTCAAAATCAAACAATTAAAGAAAAAAAAACAGTTTACATAAAAACAAGAATAAAACACGAAACTAAAAACAGCCGTCAACAAAGCAATACAGAAGAATCTAAAGATTGAACAACATGAACTTGGTATACTAGTATCCTCAAGGGTTGCAAAGGGTACACAGTTAATGTTTTATTAATGACAACCGTCAACAGGAACGGTGAAACACAGAAACCAATGATGATCAATATCTTATTATTGATGTTGTAATGTTTATGCCCTTTGGGGCCCATAATTGGAAATAAAATATCTTATCTTATACATGAACTAAACATTTATTAATATCATCTGCAAAAAACAGTTACTCCGATTCGAATTAGTTATGTAACTCGAAAATAATTATCCCAAAAAATATTAGTGATAGTATATGTTATATGCATATATATATATATGCTTTTTATTTTTGTTTTAATGTATTGCATTTGTCTCCCCTTGACAATGATATATTCAACATCTCTTTTCTGACCGTTATATTTGATAATGTTCGATGTCTTTTACGAACAAATACGTATCGTTAGGGGTGGTGGCCAAATCCTTCACTAACAGTTGAACTTCTCTCATTTATGCCAAAGCCATAAAAGATCAATATGATCATGGTGATAAATCCCATATTCATAAAAGAAGCATACTAACTATAGCTTTGTACAGATAAGGTGATGTGTTATGATAGCCAGATATAATAAGTCACCGCATGGCTGACAAAACCCATACCACATAGCAAGATGTATCTAGACTGTGATAGAAAATATATTTCTTGATATTTATACTGTAGATTATATTAATTTTTCTCATAGAAATTGTGTTATGAATTAGCAACAAAAAATTTAGTTATGTTATCATTGAGCAGAATTAAAAAATACAATGTGCATTATCGTCTTTTTTCTATGTAAATAGAACTATTTCAAAATTGCATATCAAAATGCATCGTGTTTGATAATGTGTTATTCTATCTTCATATTTAAGCCCCCATCACACTAGACCAAGACCATGAAGATCCCACTTCGATCTATAAAAATAAGATAGCGGTGAGATCGTGGTATGGTCGGCATGAATATTTAATATTTATAGTTTTCACGTTCATACTACAACCTTGCTATGATGAGAACCTGCTACGATTCCGCTACGACAGTAACACGTTCTAGTTACGATCTTGTCATGCTCTTTTTTTTTTTTTTTAACAACATAATTATTTTATTCATCAAATATTGCTTGTTACATAAATCATCAAGATTCCAAGCTTCTCTTGACGTACCCTGTTATGATCCACTGACTACCCAGGGAATAGTCAGCTGATTAGATTAATTGACATACATTTTGTTTACAAAACATTATAATAACAATACTAGAAACATTATTCACTGATTATGTTCCTTTTAATTGTTAGTAACATTGGACTTATTGTCTTATGTCCATTAATATTGGTGTCTACTCTCTTAGTGTATTCATTGACAAAAATTCTGTAGACGTCTATGTTTTTTGTTTTCTGCTCAGATACATAGTATGACTTATATATTGAAAAACTAAGTATTGTAATTAAAAAATTTATTGAGTAATACTTGTTGTCTGTGATTTTGTATCCAAATATCAGGTGTTGTAGTTTTATTAAAAAATCTATATTACTCCTTTTTAAGAGATCGTATATTTGCTGCCAAAATCTTGTCAAATAAGAACAATTGAAAAAATAGTGATCACTGTAATCTTCTTCTATGTTACAAAAATTACACATATCATTATTAGTTATTTTCCATTGTAATAAAAGCTTTTTTGTTGGTACAATAAACTGTAGTAATTTCCATCTGAATATTTTTAATTTATTTTCAGTTAAATATTTAAAAATAAAGTATATAGTGAATTCATATTTGGAGCTTCTTGCATTGGTAGAATTTTAAGCCACCTGTTTATCCCTACTGACGGTTCTTTTTTACTATTCACTAGCGAATCATATAACATTTTATTTGAAAAACATGTAGTCTCAAAATAACGATCTTTCCATGTGATCTTATTTCTCTTGACATTAACTGTACTTTGAACAGAATTTTCTTGTTTAACTATGTGAATCCAATTTTGTGGAATAGCATGTTTCAATATATGAAATTCTGCAATCCAGTTTACCTTACACTTTAATTTGTTCAAAATATATTTTTCTGATAATGACATAGTGTCATCTAAAATGTCATTTAAGTATATCATACCACTCTTAATCCAGTTTTCAAAGAAAATTGGTTTATTATGAAATGTAATAAATTTATTCCCCCATATTGTCTGCTTTCTTATATCAAAATATGTATCTGGTTGTTTTGTTTGCCCACCCCCAGTCAAAATCCAGGACTATATTACTTCTCTATAAAATTCTGGAACACATTTAAAATATTCTAAATGTTTTATATCATCTAAATTCATATTAAATATAAATAAAATATTATTAGACACCTTTAGATATTTAAAATGTATAAGCTTCCAGTTGGCAAATTTACCATGTCTATAGAATCTATAAAATTCTACCGTAAGTCCATCAAGACCTGGAGATTTATTTAATTTCATTTTAAAGATACCATGTGTGCATTCCTCTACTGTAATTTTCCCATCGCATATTAGTTTATCATTTTCATCCACTTTATTTTCTAATTTTGTATCGCTGATATATTGTTCTGTTAAATCTTTGTTTAAACTTTTTTTATTATACAAGTTTTCATAATAATCTTTTATTTTGTTTAAAAGTTTCTCTTGATCCGAAATTATTTCCCCCTTATCTCCCATTAGCTTACTTATCGATTTTTTTACTTGTCTTTTTTTTTCTAACCCAAGAAAATAAGAATTATTTTTTTCACCAAACTCTACCCATTTTTCTCTAGATCTCACTTGAGCTCCTTTCGCTTTTTCTTCATATATCTTATTTAGCTCTTCTTCAATATCATTTATTTCTTTTTCTATTTCATTGTCATCTATAGTCGTCTCGTCCATTAATTTAATTTTTTCTTCCAAGTCTTTTCCAAAGTACATCTTCGCCCCTTGGTTAACTTTGCTTTATTTTTACAATAATTTGTGGTTACTTCCCTTACCGCAATTTTAAAACCATCCCATAATAATCTACAATCTAGTGTTTCCTTTTCGAAAATATATTTATCTATCAAATTATTAATCAGTTCTTGGTAATCTTTGTCTTGCAAAACTGAATTATTTATTTTCCAATACCCATTGCCCCTTTCTGATACCCCTGGCTTAAATTTTAGAAATACACTTTGGTGGTCAGTAGACCGAATAACAGCCGGTTTGATTTTACAAAATTCTACAAGAGGTAAAAAATCTGACCCCATAAAAATCATGTCAATCCTACTAGCTTGTGACCTATCTCTTCTTCTCCATGTGAATTGCTGTTTACTTTCATTTAAGTTTCTCCAAACATCTGACAGTTTGTTAGAATATAGCAAAGTACTCTCGACCAATGAAATTGTAGGATTGGATGCCTCTTAATTGTGAAGAATGAATGTAAATCATATTCTTAGTAAGGGATTATCCTATTATTTGGGTCTATTTACAGTTCAAAACAAAGAGTTTCTATAAATGAGTTACAACTGCCCCGAAGCACATTTATCAGATTGAAAGGATTTATCACAGAGTGATTAAAACTGACTAAAAGTTGAATTGTGAAACAAACAAAAATCTCAAAATAAGTTGAAGTTTACTGGTGCAGTAAAATTGGTACCGTGAATGTTATTATGAAAATATCAATAACTTCAAATTACTATAAAATTAAACAATACCAAAGCAATGCAAAAAAATAGGAAAAAAATCTTTCAGATAAAAAATAACCTAAATCTTTAGCTTTCCAAAACTTTGATTACTTGATCAGCGGTTGGGGAGAATAGTTATTTCCAATACATGTATTCCGATAAAAAAAAAAAACAGGAATTTAGTTTTGAACATATTAAAAACTTTTAAGTGCATTATTTTTGAACATTTCCCTGACATAATGAAACAGTATTTGATGTAAAAAGCCGGACCAAATTATTGGTTGTGAAATAAAATTTAGTTGTAACTCAAATGTATAAATTGATTTAAACTGTAAATAAAAAAAGGATAATTCCTCACTAAAATATTACATGATTTACATTCATACTCACAATCAGGAAACATACAATTCCTACCTTTTCTTTCTACTTTTGTGTCACCTAATATCTATAACGCATTTTTTTTTAAATATTTCCCAAATGATAAGAAAGTCCTCACATCACTAAAACTAATCCATAAATGACATGCCGAAAAGGGAAGTCATGCATCAATTATAAACATTGTACTGACAATGAAACTAATTGATATCATTTGAGCCTTGAGGAGCACTTTACAATATTCTAAGTTTGTAAGAGAATGATAATCCCTTACTTCATGATAAGTACTCGCTAACGCTCGTACTTATTCATGAAGAAAGGGATTATCATTCTCTTACATATACTTAGATTTAATCAAGTTTTTTAAACCGTTTACGGGTTGAGTAAATTTACATGGACGTATAGATTTTCTATCAATTGGTTTAATTGTCTCATTAAAATCGCCCCCAAGTATTGGTATTCCTAGACCGTGTTCCTTCAAATTTTCACTGACCTTTTTGAAAAAAGAATTTCTAGATGATTTACAGTTAGGTGCATATACACTAATAAATGTAAAAATTGAGTTATTTATCTGCACGTTGATAAGTACTAATCTTCCGTCACTATCAATAAATTTATTTATAAGTTCGTAGCTTAGTGATTTTTTAATTAAAATAGCTACACCCCCTACTAGCCGTAGTACCATGACTACAATAAGTATCATATTCCGTTTTATTATTTATTTCCCTTTCAATAATTTCATCAAAATGTGTTTCTTGTAAAAAACTTATAACGCTTTTTTGAGCCGTAACCCATTCTATAACTCTATTTCTTTTTTCCCTTGAACTAATTCCGTTAACATTGAGACTACATAGATTAATTGTATTTGTAAATGTCATAGTTAATAATATATGAATTATAATTATATTCAAGTTTCAACACACAACACAAAGTTAAAATTTTATAACACTCAGCGACATTTAATACAATTATGTCTCTGTAACACTTAATTGATACACAATTGAGATACATATTCATTACTTTAGTTAATACATAGTTGTTACACATATTTTTACAACCTATATAATAATTACTTTTCACCTGGTGTGACTTTAAACCAATTGTTCCGCTATTGAACCTCGTGTAAGTTTTGTGTATTTTAAAACACAGTGTAATTATTTTTGGATCGTTTGATGGTGTAGTAATTAACGTATGATAGTTGAATAATTCAGAATTAGATATCTGTGTTTGAATGAAAAATACTATCATGTAAATATCTGTTAAATTGACAGCATGTACTCGATTCGATTGAAAGGTGGAAAATTTAATGCCGTTCGTGTTCTTTAACTTCTTACGGTTAAGCGTAACTTGTTCGTTACCTGTTTGATTGTACAGAAGTTTCTTTTTTGGATATAGAACTCTGCATGAACCAGACATAAAACATATAACAATGTGGATTTGCTTCGATATATTCTGAACCGTGGAGAATTTCTTCTGATTTACGCTACTAGCATGGTTTTTCAATTCAATACAATGGAAATAGTCAGGTGTTATATTGTATATATCTGTACTTGGTTTATACTTTGTGCATTTTTTTTCTGAATGAAAAGTATACTGTTGTGGACAAATACATACTGTTGGACTATTTACGTACTCTACAGGTAAGTAGTTATTTTGTTCTATCGTATTACTATTATATGGTTTATTGATTTTCATGTACCTCATCGGCGATGTAATGTTTACATGGTTTAGACAGAAAAGTGTCTTGTTCTGTTTATCGTTAATTGATAGTGTAAATCGTGTTACTATATATAGCATAGGTAAAAACCGATTTCCTATGTTTATAATGTAAACATTGAACAGCTGATCATAGTTATACAACATATACACACTACATTTGACATTTTCACAAATAGGTTACATACTTCACATTTTAGTACAACTTCACATTTGAAAAATACTTCTTCATAGCAACTTTTAACTCTTTTAAAGAGCTTTAAACTGTTATATATTTTTATTATTTTTTTATATGAAATCAAAATAAGATAAAATTTCAGCAAAACAAAAACAAGACTGAAACAGATTAAGCAACAGTTACAATATATGTTTTGTCTATTTGATTGGTAAACTCTTGATATGAGCTGTAATTTATTTGTCATTTTTATTTTTTTTAGTAAATTTTGTATGATAAAACTATTGTACAATCATTGTCATTGTTTTGTGATTTGTAAACATTTGACTTATGCTTTAGTTTTTTGTTCCAATACTTCCACTAGTTTTGTCATGTAGAGCTTCTGTAGGTGTTGGAGGTGATCTGTCACTTGCATTTACTGTTCTCCTATGTGGTGTTCTAACGAACCTGTCTATTGGTGGTTGTGCTTTGTCAACATTGTCACTGTTTCCATCCTTACCATTTTTTGGTGCTACTGTCTTGTTAGTAGATGTTTTGCTGTTATTGTTTCTTTTTTCGGATTTTTTTTTAGTAGGTGGTTTTGTAGGAGCTTCTAATTCAGTATACTCTACATTTTCATCCTGATTTTTGTTGTCAATAGATGTATTGCTGTCATTCTCGGCTTGCTGCCTAGTTTCATCAACATCCTGAAAATTATTTTGGCAGTCTATCATTTTGTGCCCGCTTTCTTTACATATTTTGCACACCCAGTCATTGGGACATTGGAAAAACATGTGACCAGGTTTAAGGCATTTGTGA